TGTATCCCATCTCCTGTAGAAGGTTCCTTAGCCACACTAATTCACAAGTAGTATGTGCCATAGCTCTATATTCTGCCTCTGCACTGCTTCTTGCTATTACTGTCTACTTCTTGCTTTTCCATGTCACCAGATTACCCCCAAGAAAAGTGCAATAGCCTGTGGTAGATCTCCTATCAGATACAGAATCGGCCCAATCAGCATCGGTATATCCTTCTATTTCAAGTTTTCCACCACTTCTGTATATCAAAATGCAACCAGAAGCCCCCTTTAAATACCTTACAATCCTTATAACCACATCCCAATGTGGAACCAGAGGTTTATGCATGAACTGACTTACCACACTAACTGCGAATGAAATGTCTGGCCGAGTGATGGTTAGGTCAGTTTACCTACCAACCGCCGGTATCTGCCAGGGTCTTCAAACACTGCACCCATATCACTGCTCAACTTAGTGTTTGTTTCCATAGGAGTTTCAGCTGGTTTAGCACCTAACAAACCTGTTTCTTCAAGCAAATCAAGAGCATATTTCCTCTTACACAAGTTAATACCATGCTTGGACCTTGCTACTTCTATCCCCAAGAAATACTTCAATTTACCAAGGTCCTTTGTCTGAAAATGTTCTTGTAGAAAGATCTTCAACCTATCAATGCCCATTTTATCATTCCCGGTAATGACAATATCATCTACATACACCACTAATAGGATCTTCCCTGCCTGAGAGTCATGACAGAAGACGGAATGGTCAACTTGGCACTGTTTCATACCAAACTTCTTTACTACCTCACTAAATCTGCCAAACCATGCTCGAAGAGACTATTTAAGCCCATAAATGGCCTTCAGTAGCCGGCACACCTTACCATCCTCCCCCTGAGCAACAAACCCTGGTGGTTGCTCCATATAGACCTCCTCAAGCAGATCACCATGCAAGAAAGCATTCTTGAAATCAAGCTGATAGAGGGGCCAATCATACATCGCAGCAAGAGAAATCACAACACAGACTAAACCAATCTTAGCAACTAGGGAGAAAGTCTCTGTGTAATCAAT